TAGAAAAGTAGTGGGGTTACACCCATGTTAGGCTTCACTTATAGTTAGATCTTATAAGTACAGAGTCAGTACACTCAGTGTGTGAATCACGGCCAGTACACTCAGTGTATGATACACAGCCATTACCCTCAGAGTATGATACACAGCCATTACACTTGGTGTATAAATCACGGCCAGTACACACAGTATATGAATCACGGCCAGTACACTCAGTGTATGAATCACGGCCAGTACACTCAGTGTATGAATCACGGCCAGTACACTTAGTGTATGAATCAGGGCCAGTACACTCAGTGTATGAATCAGGGCCAGTACACTTAGTGTATGAATCACGGTCAGTACAATCAGTGTATGATACACAGCCAGAACACTCAGTGTGTGAATCACGGCCAGTACACTCAGTATGTGAATCACGGCTAGTACACTCAGTGTGTGAATCATGGCCAGTACAATCAGTGTGTGATACACAGCCAGTACACTCAGTGTATGATACACAGCCAGAATACTCAGTGTATAAATCACGGCCAGTACACTCAGTGTGTGATACACAGCCAATACACTCAGTGTATGATACACAGCCAGTACACTCAGTGTATGAATCACGGCCAGTACACTCAGTGTATGAATCACGGCCAGCACACTCAGTGTATGAATCACGGACAGTACACTCAGTGTGTGATACACAGCCAGTACACTCAGTGTGTGAATCACGGCCAGTACACTCAGTATGTGAATCACGGCCAGTACACTCAGTGTGTGAATCACGGCCAGTACACTCAGTGTGTGATACACAGCCAGTACACTCAGTGTATGAATCACGGCCAGTACACTCAGTGTGTGATACACAGCCATTACACTCAGTGTATGAATCATGGTCAGTACACTCAGTGTATGAATCACGTCCAGTACACTCAGTGTATGAATCACGGTCAGTACACTCAGTGTATGAATCACGGCCAGTACACTCAGTGTATGAATCACGTCCAGTACACTCAGTGTATGATACACAGCCAGAACACTCAGTGTATGATACACAGCCAGTACACTCAGTGTATGAATCACGGCCAGTACACTCAGTGTATGAATCACGGCCAGTACACTCAGTGTGTGAATCGCGGTCAGTACGAGTTTCGTAGATAACATGAATAAGAATTCTGTTAAAATCTTAGGTACAGTCATGCTGACTAGTGAAAAAATTTACAAATTTTATTTACTAAACAATCCTTAACAACATAACTTAAACCTAGACAACTAAAAATACTTATGAGGACGATAATGAAACGAGAAAATTATTTGAGAAAAATGAAGGACGATTTCATGCATAATTTTACCATTTAACTGAAGGTAAAGTGTCAAAAACAGAAAACAAACCCTACACTAGGGGACCTAAGTTCAATTCCCAGAATGCACTGGAAAAGGTATAGGGTCACCTGCCCGACCACATGAAGTTTCACTGCATACTTCGATTTCCTGTCATGGTAAAACTCACCCGCTCCAATCCAGGTCAACAAGAGTGACTAATATGATTAGAAGAAACTAGATATATGATATAAAAATGTGTTCGAAGAAATGCGATTTTTTTTTTCACAGATTTGTTATTTCAGCAATGAACATGTATTTCATAATATCATGTTTCTTAATACATGTACAACCTGAATAATTTAGAAAAGAAAAAAAGCATAATTATTAAAAATTCCCTTGTGTTAATATTGAATAAATGCACATACATATGTGCAGGAAACATTGTAGGTTTTAACACACTGGCGGCATGTACTGACTATATACAGCTGAAGTACAGTTTTAATCCTGTGGTGTTTTCCTTGTAATTTTTAACATCACCCTATACCTCTAAGTGTCTATGGGGACCAATGAAATGATTTTTACAAATCTCATTTTTTCCCTTTAAAGTGAAAAACTGTATATCAAAGTGTATATTGAAATGTCTTTTGATGGCATTTAAGGCCATATGAAGTGCCATATCTTTGCATACAAACATACTGCTCACCTCAATACATCTATCCAATTTGTTATTTTTGCCTGCCATAACTTGAGATTTAAACTAAAAAACTTATTCTCTACAGACAGTATAATCTGCAGTATCACCAATCTCTTGTCAAGTAACATCCCAGTGTTGAATTTGATACTTTTAAACAGATCAAAAGACTCTGGCATTTTTCCATCATTTAAGCAGGCCATGATTTGACCTTGAATATCAGATAGACTTGACACGAAGTCTGTCATGCGGAACAACCTGTATGACCACAATGCTCAGGACATTTATAGATGTTTTGTCTGGTTCTGAATGTTATTCCTAGTAACATAAACCTTTGTCTGGGTCGCTGATATTGCTGTGTACAGAAGCAGATATCATTATGAGTAATTAGAATTAAAAAAAAAATTTTTTTTGTTTTTTTGAAAGAGATAGCAGTAAACAAAATTTATTACAGTTACCGTACAAATATTTTGGCTTTAATCGTAAGACAAGTAGACTTATATCTAAGTCACCTACAAGCCTGGCCTGGCTCCTTTTGAATACCGTGACAGTTATTTACTTTAAAAGAATAGAAATTTTGTAATACATTACAACATTATAAGCCTAAACGGACATTTATTTTAACCAAACAATTATTTTGTCAAGGCTTATGACCACAATAATTAAAATTATATTTCAGGAATTTAAAAGAAATAAATTCATCCATGTTAAAAATGTCGGTGAACCATTTATACATATATTTTTGACCATGACATATTCTCGGTAAGACATAACCCTGACACCTGTGATAACACATTCAAGGACGTCTATATAAAGAAATATTTATTTGTGTCCTTTGCCGTTTACTTATAGTTATCTACTAATGGTCCTTTGATTTTAAATTGCATTATAATTAACATATATATTGGAAACTAACAAGGCAACTAGCCATTAAAACAATGTTATTTTCATCTCTTGTAAACTAACACAAATAGAATGCATAGCAAGGTATAACACTGGGATAAACAACATTTCCTGTAACCTACACACGTGTTTTTCTATTCATTTTGTTTATATGTTTTGTTTACTGAAATTTACCTGAGAGATTAAACCACATCCATGTCAACATTTTTGTCACAGAATTATTTCGGAAAACTTTCTAAAAATTTGATCATGCAGAAAAAAATAATTGAAACCAGAATGTCAGAACTTCAAACTTTTCTGAAGTTGATTCCATATTAAGTTTTAATCTGATATTTAATGAGAATTTTTACAATTTATCAAGGTCACTTCTAGTCTTGCTTCTGCAGCTGTCGATATATATCGTAGCCTCTTTATTCATTTTGACCTTATGTGACCTTTACGAAAGGAGCTAAAGTTATAACTATATACAGTCTTACAACACTACGCCAGCAACCTACTGGCTGCATTTTACTGCTGGATTCCTCACTGTACTGTAATCTATATGTTAAGCATTTAAAGAAGAAAATCTATACAAACTGTTGTAAGCTGAGAACAGGGGAGGAAGAGAGAAAGAGGGACACAAAGTCCCCTTTTTCTGTGCTGATCCGAGGGATCCTTGAGAGAGTGGCTCTCTGTGACATGGTATATATGATAATATATGAGAAGTACTGATAGGACAAACTCATCAATAATTCATCCTACTGCACAGTGTAACAAGAACCTCCTGGTTTTATCAATACTTCAGCCATTCACTATGGACAGAGAGGGGATTTCATCATTTATCTTTGTCATAATTAGTCAGCTATAATCCCATGTTTGATGAAAAGCCAACCCACATTGTAGAAATCACACAAAATGTTTTGTATAATTGTCCTGTAATAAGCCCACCCACATCTATTGTAGAATTCACACAAAATGTCATTCATAATTGTCCTGTAATAAGCCCACCCATATCTATTGTAGAATTCACACAAAATGTCATTCATAATTGTCCTGTAATAAGCCCACCCACATCTATTGTAGAATTCACACTCTGCAGACTTTGTATAGCTACTTAACGACTGACAAATGAAATCCCTATGTTACTGAAGTATAACATACACACCACATCCTATGTGAGGGAAATTCTAGATTTCCAACTGTTAGAAACGATATCAAGTTAAATATGTGTTCTATTATCATGCAAATAGTATGTTCTTTACTGTTCCACAATATTGTCAACAAAATTCCAAAATGGCCAGAACAAAAATCACTGCTTGTATACCAGATCAACCAAATATTGGAGGCATAGATTTTTGATCTTTTGAACTGTAGGCAGGATGTTACTGGAGAAAACAGCTGATTCATAAGTACTGATTACTCAATATTACAGTCAAGTCATTGTCCTTTCTAACAATATCACCTATATCCACCACTGAACCAGGGTTTTCCATAATTTTGTTAGTAGTAGGCTGTGTAGTGAAAGTAGGAGGCTGGCCTGCCGTGTACGTGTAGTCGTGTACGGAACATTATTACGGAACTGGATTGGTGTAGGCGGCCAAATGATCAAAGTAGCCGGTCAAATTGGCCGGCAACCGGCTCTTATGGAAAACCCTGACTGACATGAAGCCAAAAGATTTACTACTTTGTTACAACCCACCCTGGTCTACACCAGCTATCACAATAAGGCAAAAACTTCAACCTTTACTAGCAATAAGCCCAAGTAGGAAATAAGCCAAACTATACTTATTATTGATTAGTAAAACTATTTACCTTCCAAAATTTCTAGGGTTTAATGTTCTCCCTAAACTCTGAACCAATAGGGACAGGGTCCATACATAAATGACATCAAATGTCATTTTGTTGTCCTGTAATAAGCCCACCCCTTTGAATTAAGTATTGAGATTACTGAGGACAAATGTGGTATTTCCACTAGATTTCTTAATCTAGATGTATGAAAAATATCAATATAATAACATAATGTAACCTGACTCCTGAGTTGTTGAAATTTACTGAGAAAACAGGTGGGGGGCGTTTATTAGAGACGGGGCGTTTATTGGAATAAATACGGTATGCAAATTTTTACCTGTGAAGATCAAACTTGGCAAATTTTTTCCAATCATCACGATTGCTCTTGTACGAAGTCATTAATTCTTTTACGTAGTCAACGTTGACCTTGTCAGCCTCAAACACTTTGTGTAGTTCACTGATCAGATCATTCAGTGATTGTGGCGCTTCAATCTTCTTTGTGTCACAGTAGTCACATTGTTGTTCAGTTTTACTCACTTCCATAGTGTGTGTTTAATACACGCTCTCTGTAATGAAAAATTATATGAATATATATTACTTGACTAAAAAAATCACTATATCCCTGGATGATTTTCAAAAGTTTTGCTGATTTGATTACCGTATTTCACTGCAAATAAGCCATCCCCCCCCCACTTTTTCCAATTTAATTCGCAATTAAGCCCCCCCCCTCCCCCCACCCCTCAACCCCGCCTATTCAAGTAACATATTTATACCAAAACACTTCACCCTAAAACAGATTTAAGTAACATATTTACACGAAACACTTCACCTTAAAACAGATTTAAGTAACATATTTACACGAAAACACTTCACCTTAAAACAGATTTAAGTAACATATTTATACCAAAACACTTCACCTTAAAACAGATTCAAGTAACATATTTATACCAAAATACTTCACCTTAAAACAGATTTAAGTAACATATTTACACGAAAACACTTCACCTTAAAACAGATTTAAGTAACATATTTACACGAAAACACTTCACCTTAAAACAGATTTAAGTAACATATTTATACCAAAACACTTTACCTTTATAAAGACTTCTGATTGAAATTCCTAGAGAAACGAAGCGACCAGACCTGACAACATGTAACTAGGAAGTGATAGCAGGCAGACTTGATCATTTTACCACTAATCAATTCTCTAGATATAAATACAGACAAATCAAGTCCCTAGCTTTGTGATTGGAATTTCCAGTATGAATTAGGAAAATTTCCACGAACTGTTTTGATCACAACTAGATATTTGTTTTGATATATTGTTAGTTTTTTTCTCTTAGATACTGTGTTTATGGTATAAGTGGGTTGACTACAGTAAATAATCACTTAGGATAATCTGTAATTAAGACTTCAGATTATGATGTTTGTGTTCCGACAGTATCTTGTCGGAATTATGTGTCACTAAAACGGTAACTACCTCAAACGCATCAAGAATGTCATTACGTCGTCATGCCGATGACAAATACGTAGCAATACTTTATTTTACAATAAAAATTATTATTGATACAACTATAGATGTTTTTATTGAAGATCAGAAAAGTTCCTTCATGCAATTTAGGCTTTATAATTTTTTATTATATTGTTGGTATGGTATAAAAATTCATCTACGCAGTCATGATTCTATATTGAGAACCAGAGAGTCATTACTTGATTCTACGAAAGCTTCCTGGAGGTAACATGCTTTATCCAGTTTTTCTCTGAATATTAAAAAAAAAAAGATTTTGTGGCAATCATCCAAAAGTTCCAAATGTTGTTATGTTTTTGTCCTTGGCGTGTATTTTGATACGTGTTATTAAAATAACAGAACTTAAACCTACATATTTGTAAACATAACAAATATGGCTTTGTGGGAGTCTATAAAAAAAAAACCAATTACTGTAACCATGTCAACATCAAAACACAAAATGTTTAAATCATACAGTTGTTTCTAATCTTATTTGCAATGAAATAGATTTTTTAACATAATAAATCATAAAAACTTCAGACACAAAATGATTTGTACTCTGAACAAATTATTTTCCTAACAGAATGAAGCACTTGAGAGTATATATATGGGTACACGTATTTAGTACATGTCCATACACAATGCTATCTGACAGTCTGAGAGAATTTGCTCTAATCTTCTTGGGGTAAATCAGTATCGTTGTAAGGCTCTCAATCTGCCAGATTTCGGGCCGAATATCGACCCCATTCCCAATGCCAAATAGTATCTTTCTTTCCCAATTTAGACCCTGTTTTCCCAATTCTAAGGAAAACGCCGCTATTTTTCCCAATTCTAAGGGCCCTGGGCCCCAGTCCCAAAATGGGGTGTGAGAGCCCTGTGGTAGCTGTAGGCCACCAGTACTAGTACCACCATCTTCTTACATATAGACATTACCTGCAGCTAAATATTTGATACAACTGAATTTCTGTGCATTCGACTAGTGTTAAGGACTGAATAATGAAAAACATGGTCACCATTTGGATTCAATCTAGAGACCCTTCATTCCTACCTGTACACTGTGTATTTACTAAAGATAATGGGCAGGTGCTTTCTTCAAAAGCAAAAAAAAAAAATATTCTTAAGTGACTTTATTTCCTGGTCATACCTGCTGCTGAATATTTGATACAAGAGGCCTAGCAGCCTTGATGGTCACCTGAGATAATCAATAGTGAATATAAAAGTTAAAGGGAAAGCAGCTTTCAAGTGTCATGAAAAAGAAATGATGACACTGGTAACAGTTAACCAGTAACAATACATGTGTTCCATCAAAACTCTCATCCAAAACTTCTAAATCTTATAAAGTTATTTCCAGTAGGAAATAAACAATGTTATGCTCAAAAATCCCATTTTTCTATAAAAATAACAGTAAAGTTAACCTCCTCTCCAGGAAGAAATGTGAGACACATTTTGATAATTAAAGTACCACCCCTGAAGAGCAATTGACTAGAACATATCTGGGTATTGAGAAGATTTTTGAAATTCATTTCAATTTGACCTCTTTTGGCCCCGCCTATCAGCCCCCAGGGGTCAGTCAGGATCAATCTATTCATATATCTAGTTGTTGTCCTTATCTCATAAATCTAAGTAAGTTTGAAATATTTCCAATGGAAATTAAACAAATTATATTGAAAAATCTATACTTTTTCTATATAAACTATAGTAAATTTTACCCCCTCTCCACCGGCATATGTAAGACCGTACGGCCATGAAATTCATAATTTTTTAAGCCATCTTTAGCTGCTGCCATCAATGAAGTGCATTTGATACTAACATATCTGGGTGTTGAGAAGAAGATTTTTGAAATTTGAGTAAATGGGACCCTTTTGGCTTTACCCCTCAGACCCCTAAGGGGCGGGGACCATATAATTCACTATTTTATTTCATCTTAGGACAGGGAAAGTTTTGAAAAAAATTCATCGAAATTGGTTCAAGCATTTTTGAAAAAGAAATTGTTGAATTGTTTACGGACACACGACACACGATGCCAGATGAAGGTGATCACATTAGGTCACAATGAGTATCAGGTGACCTAACCACTGACCCTTTGTTAATGTGTTAAGGAATGAGTACTGATAAATATTTGGATTCAAACTAGCAACCCTTCTGTCTAACAACTTCATAGTGTACTCACAAAAGAAGAATTCCCACAAGCCAAGGCTAGTAAAATAGCCTGTATGTACTCTCAAATTCTACACTTGTGTGGTGTGATCTTATAAAGTTTTGCCCCTATCTCAGGCAATTAAGCTTCAACATGGAACACATTCTTCAGTCATGAATCACTGTTTTTCAATTTTTAAGATTGATTCCATTTAATGTGTTTATCCCCCTTGGTTTTATATACTCTTGAAATCCTAGACCCACGGAAGAAAATTGTCAATTTCAAAAAAAAAAATTAAATAAAAAAAAAACAAAAAAGGTAGATTGAGATATAGTTATAGTGAAAGTGTAACCAACAGTTTATCTGGGTTTTTTTTACTAGTTTCTAACTCTTTTAGTTACTGATAACCTTTCTGTGGTCACCATCAACAGGATGTGTTAAAACAGAAACATAGAATGATATACATGTACATGTATTGGCATATTTGATGTTACACTATAAAGTGTCAATGTTTGCATTAAAACAGTACATAATGAGTACTTTTCCAGAATAAGACCATGCATTTCTAGTAATAAGCTAATCACAAGTCTTTTGTTGTTCAGGGAAATCACCATCCCAACCTATTGTGTATACACAATACTATTGTGTTAGGTCCTGGGCCTGGAGATAAAGCCAGTTATATTGTGTTGGGTCCTGGGCCTGGAGATAAAGTCAGTTATATTGTGTTGGGTCCTGGGCCTGGAGATAAAGTCAGTAACATTGGGTCTTGGGCCTGGAGATAAAGTCAAGTTGTATTGTGTTGGTCCTGAGCCTGGAGATAAAGTCAGTTATATTGTGTTGGGTCCTCGATCTGGAGATAAAGTCAGTTATATTGTGTTGGGTCCTGGGCCTGGAGATAAAGTCAGTTATATTGTGTTGGGTCCTGGGCCTGGAGATAAAGCCAGTTATATTGTGTTGGGTCCTGGGCCTGGAGATAAAGTCAGTTATATTGTGTTGGGTCCTGGGCCTGGAGATAAAGTCAGTAACATTGGGTCCTGGGCCTGGAGATAAAGTCAGTTATATTGTGTTGGGTCCTGGGCCTGAAGATAAAGTCAGTAACATTGGGTCCTTGGCCTGGAGATAAAGTCAGTTATATTGTGTTGGGTCCTGACCCTGGAGATAAAGTCAGTAACATTGGGTCCTGGGCCTGGAGATAAAGTCAGTTATATTGTGTTGGGTCCTGACCCTGGAGATAAAGTCAGTAATATTGGGTCCTCGGCCTGGAGATAAAGTCAGTTATATTGTGTTGGGTCCTGGGCTTACTGTAGGAAGCTGTGGTATTATGGTTGGTGAAACATTTCTATAGCTGCTACAATATACACACATACATAACCAGTGATGTGACAAACTCCATTGTAGGCCATCACTTTCAGGTGTAATATTCAGGTGTACCCAAACCTTTTTTATATAATGTATGCTATTTATAGCAGTAATCCCAATCTACCCAGTTTACAGCTGTTAACACATATCTAGACATGGTCCAAGTTACAACATTCCAATCTAATTTACAGAAAAATCAAATCCATGTTTACATTTTCCCTGGGTAATTTAAATGTATGGTTTCCATGCTTTCTTGTGAGATCTAATTCTCACCAATACCCATATAACATGTAGATTGATGGATCCATGGAGAGAACAAGTCTGTAACCTTGAAACATTTCAAAGTCAACTGCTCCATCTGGAGATGCCATCAAATCACAACTTTATCAGAAAAACGTTCATCAACTTTGATACTGATATAGTTAATTGTAAAGAAACAGATGATCAGACTTAAAATTCCTTACTGTCTACACACATCTTACTACTAGATATAGGTACTGTCTAACTTTCTGCTAACCATAGCTACTTATAACACCTCACTGTCTACACACATCTTACTACTAGATATAGGTACAGTCTAACTTCCTGTTAGCCATACATAACACCTCACTGTCTACACACATCTTACTACTAGATATAAGTACTGTCTAACTTCCTGTTAGCCATACATAACACCTCACTGTCTACACACATCTTACTACTAGATATAGGTACTGTCTTACTTCCTGCTAGCCATACCTACTTATAACACATCAGTGTCTACACACATCTTACTACTAGATATAGGTACTGTCTAACTTCCTGCTAACCATACATAACACCTCACTGTCTACACACATCTTACTACTAGATATAGGTACTGTCTAACTTCCTGCTAACCATACATAACACCTCACTGTCTACACACATCTTACTACTAGATATAAGTACTGTCTAACTTCCTGCTAACCATACATAACTCCTCAATGTCTACACACATCTTACTACTAGATATAGGTACTGTCTAACTTCCTGCTAACCATACATAACACCTCACTGTCTACACACATCTTACTACTAGATATAGGTACTGTCTAACTTCCTGCTAACCATACATAACACCTCACTGTCTACACACATCTTACTACTAGATATAGGTACTGTCTAACTTCCTGTTAGCCATACATAACTCCTCACTGTCTACACACATCTTACTACTAGATATAGGTACTGTCTAACTTCCTGCTAACCATAGCTACTTATAACACATCAATGTCTACACACATCTTACTACTAGATATAGGTACTGTCTAACTTCCTGTTAGCAATACATAACACCTCACTGTCTACACACATCTTACTACTAGATATAGGTACTGTCTAACTTCCTGTTAGCAATACATAACACCTCACTGTCTACACACATCTTACTACTAGATATAAGTACTGTCTAACTTCCTGTTAGCCATACATAACACCTCACTGTCTACACACATCTTACTACTAGATATAGGTACTGTCTAACTTCCTGCTAGCCATACATAACACCTCACTGTCTACACACATCTTACTACTAGATATAGGTACTGTCTAACTTCCTGCTAACCATACATAACACCTCACTGTCTACACACATCTTACTACTAGATATAGGTACTGTCTAACTTCCTGTTAGCCATACATAATTCCTCACTGTCTACACACATCTTACTACTAGATATAGGTACTGTCTAACTTCCTGCTAATCATACATAACACCTCACTGTCTACACACATCTTACTACTAGATATAGGTACTGTCTAACTTCCTGCTAACCGTACCTACTTATAACACCTCACTGTCTACACACATCTTACTACTAGATATAGGTACTGTCTAACTTCCTGCTAACCATACATAACACCTCACTGTCTACACACATCTTACTACTAGATATAGGTACTGTCTAACTTCCTGCTAACCGTACCTACTTATAACACCTCACTGTTTACACACATCTTACTACTAGATATAGGTACTGTCTAACTTCCTGCTAACCATACATAACACCTCACTGTCTACACACATCTTACTACTAGATATAGGTACTGTCTAACTTCCTGCTAACCGTACCTACTCATCAGTTTTGGAACAAATCATTCATTCACAAAGTCTTTGCCAACAAAACAACTATTGCTCAATTTCTGAAAACTCCAATAAAGCTCCTCAAAAACTGCAAGTCTGTGTGTTATGTATTTTGTGGGTGATCAGTCAGATTGGGAGAGGAGGGACAGCTTAAGGTAAAATCTCTATACATTGTAAATCTGTTGAACTATTAAATGTCAACCAACTAAAGCTCAGCACTGAGCAAACAGTAGGAACTCCGGATTTATTTACGTGTGTTCCTTATTATTTATACCAACGGAAATTATTATAGACCTGGAGATCTTGTTTGTTTTATTATAATTCATACATCCATAATTAGTTCTCTCCGTCATTTAACAGAAATTGTTTCACACTACAATTTCCTAGTTACAAGGAATAATACAAAAATAACATCCTGAAGCATGATCACACTGGTTGAAGCTGTACCAGGAATTGATTTAGATTTAAGGGGAAGTAGACCCTTGAAATAATATAGGGGGGAATGATAGACTTAATAAAAGCTACCTAGGAAAGTACAGGCCACCAAGCAAGCCAACAACACCAGGGAGTCAAGGCGGAGGAGTAAACAGCAACAATAAACTCTTTAGAGAAATACAAGATAAAAATGGTGCATTATGGGAGAATTCAGTAGTATTATTTGCTTTACAAAACGAACATTAAAGCAATTGAGTTTAATTAAACAAAATTGAGTAATACTGAAAATCTGTCAGTAAGGAAAAGGAGAATTTTGTATAGAAATTTGGAAATTTGGGTCAATTTTTTGATGGAGCAGAAACTGTCATTAAACAACAGCAAAATATACCTAGATTGGGCCCTCAGTGTCCTTATAGCCTATTTTAACATACAATGAAAAAGGACCCAAGTGATTCTCAGGAGTGCCATTCAAAACTGCAGAAGGATATCATAGTGATGGGATATCAGTTAAAACCCACAATCAATAACTATTGATTAAAATTTGATATAAGCTTTTTCATGGAGTTATCAATTACATGGTCAGCTGGCTGTTTGTTCAGTATCTATAAAAAGGGAATGCACTCTCTGTGGAGTTGTGCCTTCACTTGTTTTTGTCACTTTACCCTAAAAACCTCACTCACCTAGAATCAGCATACAAGTGGGTATTGTTGGCAATTGGTGATGATTGACTGTAACTTTTCATAATCAATATATATTGTATACAGGCCTCGAATTTACGGCTTTTTACTGGCTATTTGCAAGTAGAAATCCCAAGAATTAAAAGTAGAAAAAATAATGACTTGCTTTTTTCAGCAAGTGGATTCATCAGATGCAAACTGTGAGTGCCTGTCTACTCCTAACATTTCACAGAATTAAATTGTTTTGATTTTCAAAGTGTAAATATTGGGACAAAGCAGTTCTTCTATAATGTTGATATATATTGGATGAAGCAAGGTAATAAATACATTATAAATCACAAAAAAACCCACATTATTTGAACATGGAGATTTGCGATAATAGCAAGTAAAAAGTCATTTTAGCATGTACAAATTTAAGGCACTTGCTGTTTTCAGCCAGTGACAAAAAATGTTAAATTTGAGGCCTGGCATATCGAGCAATATTTTTTGGTTTTGTTGAATCACAGAAAATATTGAGGCACCATTATCAATGCTCAATTATTAAAAAAACACCATTATCATTGCATCATAAGGTTAAACAATTGAATAACTAATTTTATCCAACCTTCATCTCATCTCTAGATAATCTCCATTTAATCAGCTGTCGTCAATATAGAATATACTTGTGAAAGGAAGCTTGGAAATTGTGGAGACATTCATGAGGTATGTATGGTTTTGAAAACTACCTCATTTCTCCTCACAATAGACATTTAGGTCAAAAACTTTTTTTTCTATCTAACATATATAAATGGGGAGTTATAGAATTGAGAAATCACAAATAATGTTCTTGATCTGTCTCTGATCCAATATCTGGGCTGGGCTATGATAAAACATGGATCAGAAATAATTAACTATTTTGGATCAGAAATAATTAACTATTTTGGATCAGAAATAATTAACTATTTTGGATCAGAAATAATTAACTATTTTGGATCAAAAATAATTAACTATTTTGGATAAGAAATAATTAACTATTTTTCAAAAGTAATTTTCTTAATATTGTTTTTTATTACTCACAAACTTCTCAAAAATGACTAAATTAGTTTTGAAAAAAAAATGATCATTTATCAATGTTTAAAGTTGATATGCACATTTTTTTTTTCTTTTTAAGATATCATTCTGAGGTACGAATATTAATATCAAATTTCAATGATTTTTTTTTTGTCACGTCTTTGACAAAGGTTATGGATATCACTACGGGCTAACAAAATTTAGATATATCGACTTTATCCAAGTCCATGTTATAATGCTAAAATTTCAGGATTTTGCAGATCACCAAAATAAATAATACATTTCTAATTTTATTCAAATAATTACAGTACAACTTCTATATGGTACTATCTGCCAAGTTTTATCTGAATTCAAAAGAGCCGAAATTCCAACATGGTGCAAGGCCAAAAATATGTATGGTGGAACCAGAGACGTCCCTGATGGAACTATACATCAGAAGAAAGTTGGGGAAAAATATCAGTTCCGAACAAGTCATCGTTCACGCACATGTTATAATGTCGTTAATGAGGGAGAGCTCTCCTACCTGATGATGAAAGGACAAGAATATTATTACATGAAAGAATTTATTTAACGTGACCTCCAAGGAATGTATACGTTTCACTCATGTGTGACCTATATACATACACCACGTAACATTGTATCTGCCGGCACTGATCATGTTTACGTGTGTGGAGGGAAAAACTGAAATTATTCCTAGCATCGACTAAAATAATAATTATATGCCTTTATCAATTTTTTTCGGCTTACCTTGACAAAAACGAACACCTGTGTGGTCTAGTTTTAAGTCTGTTGTAATAAAATATTTCCACAGCTTCAGACAGACGTATTTCTTCGTCTAACCGTTGTTGATGTAAACACATGCAATGACGTCTTGGGAAACTTTCGGGTTCTCTCTAGACCGGCCACCAAGGTCAGGGTTATCGACTCCATTTATAGTCTGTTTCCCAAAAACTGTAACAAGTGACCGAACGAAGGCTATATCTAGCATTGACGCCGATGTAAAGTTCTTCATAGTTTCTTAAGGTGCATTTTTGGTACGATTACTTAACGATAAACCAGTATACATTTTGAGATAATGTAAAAAAAGTTAACATTGATGAAAAAGTAAATGATTTTTCATGAATGGCCTATTTCTACGAAAGCCTATTGGGGTCATTTTTTAGGAGAAAATAAATAATGCCATTGATCAATTTAGTACCATTATTTTTACGTGAAGTGAAAGCGAAGGCAGTCGCGCAAGGCAAATATATACTTTAAGTCTTTACCGCTTTAGGCTTCCACCACTGAGTCGTGAGTTTGAGAGCCACGTGGGACAGTTGCCATGTACTGACTGAAGGTTGGTGGTTTACATCCGGGTACTTCGGCTTTCCTCCGCCGCCCAACCATGGCACGTCCGAAATGACCCTGGCTGTTAATAGGACGTAAAACGAAAATAAACTGAACTAAAGCACAAGAACCCGCTATCTGTTAAAATTTATAGACTCGATTTCATTTAAGGCCAAATAAGAAATAAGATTTTTTTTAATTTTCTCATTAAAAAGTTAAGCTAACTCTGATTTAATCTACTCAAGAATCCAAGCACAATTAGAAAGAAATATGACAGCCATGTTTTAGTTCATTTATTCATTGTACAACCGTGTTAAACTTTGTTGTAAGTTCGATGGCAAACATGACATAACAATTTTAAAGGATATATAGACATAACCTTTTTTCACTACATTTCATGTAACATCATTCTTTTGTAATATTTGAGGACCTATATTTGGAACAAAATGGCATTTTCATTTGAGAAATAGCTAGCTTAAGCACCTTTTGACAAATCAAAGAATAGCGTTGGAGATATTAATCGTTCCCCTTAGTTTAAAAAGACAATTCATAGGCAATCAAACCTTATTGACAATTTAAAAGATGTTCATAACATAAATAAAATTGCATGCATTGCAACTAATTACCCGGAAACCCTCTCGATATTTTAACTGGAACCTTGTGTGAAACAAAAGAAAGAGCATACAATGTAGCAAGATTTGAATCAAATCCTCTTGGTGATAAAATTATCGTTTAATTGTCTTTTCCTATCGCTGCTCAGTGATGAAAATATAACGACAAAATTATTGGTTAAACTACCCCTACATTTACAATCATACGAAAAATGTATGTTTGATTATTATAACGAAACGTACAGTATGCCTAAAATCTATACATAATTGTACGATACTTTTTCAAGATGTTCTGGTATAAGAACTTGGAACTATCACGTTTCCTGGTATCTACCTGATGCATATTTAGTACATAATCGTTCACATTGGCATAAACCTTATACCTATATGATACCCATTATCCAGATGTTAGCATTCAAACCTGAGGTAAACTCTCGCCAGAAATTGCAAAAAACCTTCACTGTCACCCTCCATTTTTAGTCAATATCTGATACTCTGAAACCTATTCGCCGTATTATATAGCCAATAATTTCGCGTAATAACGCGAAAGTTTTGCGAAGTAACGCGTTAGTTTCGCGTAATATCGCGATTTTAAAAATATTCTTCCCTACGAAAATGGCCCCAATAGGCTTTCGTATATTTCCCATTGTCTAAACATATCTGAAAGATAACATGGTCGTTGGACTTTCTTGGAAGATAAAAATATGTATATTACTGGTCGACATTTAAACGACAAAATGTTCACAATAGACACTCTACATAACGCTCCAAATAATATATACAACTTATCTGTGTATTTAAATCAGAAATAGGTGCATCGCTATGTACTTCAAATTTTAACATGTCTGATTTTTTGCATTTTTTATACATAATTAAATTTTCAGCGAAATACAGATTCCATATATATATATATATATACGTATGATGTATGTGCTATATTGTATCAGTGTCTTGATATTCAATTGTATTTATTGTGTTGCCTATTGCTTTTTCCCGACGAAATAATTAACTGTCATACAACAATATGGTTTGGTTCAGTATCACATTTTTTAAACACGTTTCGTTGGTTGTCCTTCAGGGTACTACAAATGTCACATAGTTAATCTTGGTTTGTGGGAAATATTCCTTTTAAAAAATCCTGTTTTGCAAATTTGAAAGTCCACTTCCCAAATACAAAAACACTGGGGTTTGGTAAAAGTTTTTAGTAGTATTTTGCCTCTGCGACCTTGTAAGTAGGACAGGTCACAAATTCAAAATGGGTGCCGTGTCTTCGGTTTTTAGAAAAAGCGCACAAGGAAAAAGTTCATAACGGGCGGACAACAGGTGCCGCGCCAATACATAAGCTCGCTTGTACGGACGCTTGAACTAAAAATATCCGTTCAGCTCTCAAATATCAGACAAAACTCCAAGTTTGGGGGACCTTGACATAGATTTGTTCAGAGACGCACCTGACCCACTGATAAAGTTTGTGCGGAGGAGAATGTTGTACGTTATCAGGTGTATCACCGATCTGAACAGAACGTTTACAAAGAGAGAAATATATATCATTTTATTTTTTGATAATAGAATACATAAAATTCACAAAGTTCTACCATAGGCAAAGCTATTGAAGAATAAAACATATCAACATTATTGTGCACTGTACTCGAGTTACCTCCCCCTGAAATAGGACTGAACTCGTATGCTCAATGGCGACACCAAGCTGTTTTTGTAAATGATTTAGCCTAAATGTTGACTAATATGTAGTATTATTCCTATTACAACGAGGATGTGTTTGTCAGTTGAACTATGCACTTATTAAACTATGTTTTGTAACTATTACACACTTGAAAATACCGTAAAACAATTTCACAAAATAGGCGTCCTTATACATTGCCTAACAGCAAGCAGTCGTGATGCGTGGCGGAGAACCCCGATCTCAGTTGCATGGAACTTGACCAATCATCTATTACAACCAGCAAATATCATCAAATAGTACATGATTTTATCCAATAAAATCGATTCTATTTTGAAATCGGTTTCAACCGTATTTTAGGAGTTTCCTTAGGTAGTTTTCTAACCGGTGTTAACGGAATTAAGCGCCGGTGAACACGCATTACTTTCATTTCATTGCATTTAATACTGATAAAACGAATACCTTTCTGGCATTTCAACAAATAAAATAAATAAAATGAAAATAATAAATAATAAAAAAACATACGTAAAACAAACGAAAAATAAAAAGTAAAAAAATACAGACATTTGTAAGTTAGATATATGTAAAAAAAAATACAGACATTTTTGTGCAAATAATCTATTTAATACATCTAGATTTCAAACATTTTTTTCAAAATACCTTAAGCTTACAGAGTTATATTGCATGAAGAAAGCAAAAGAAAAAATGTGTTTCACCTTTTTATAATTTCATGTAAAGAGACAAAACGTCTTTTCTAAATAAATGATCACAATATTGTGAACCATAAATGTGTTTACTGGTAAATAATCATCTACTGGATATATAATGCTTTTTGGCACTTAACAATAACTTAATAAATTTGAATCACAAAACATGTAGTGAAATACCATTTTGAATGGATATTTCAATTACATGTATACACCAACAATATTTAAATGAATTGGATTATCCAATCAACATCTAGAAAGCAATACCATTTTGAATGGATATCTATATCTTATGTAAAATACCATTATGAATGGCGATGCACCATGCAAATTACCCGCCTAGAATCAGATTCACAATGCAACAGAAAATTTGACCTCCTGACAACAAATGTTTTGTATAAATTCAATATTTGTTTGGCATGACAGGTTTTGGAGTTATGGTCAGGGGCCATACATTTCCGACACATTCTCCTCTCCTTTACTCTCTTTTTCTGCTTTTCTAACACTTGTGAGAAGTGTCTCTGAAAACACTGCTTTGTTACAATGTTGTTGAGCTTTCTAAGCCCTGCTGGCTGTATCGGACAATAGCACCATGTTTTCTGATGAGTTCACCTACATGATACCGAAGCATATGAATGTACAGGGCGACACTTTTGGCTTGACAACAACTTATGTACAAGCCACACCACAACTTTGCTTTGTATTCTATGTCATCAGCATCTGGGGTGTCAGATTTGATAAACATGTTCAGCTCTCTAAACCCATCCCACAACTTCTGAATCTGAACAGCTTTATTTCGGTCATCAAAAAACTCAGCTGCATCAAAACGTTCAAGCAGCAAAAGTTTCTCTGGACCAGTGAGCTCACGATAATCTAACATTTTACTATCAACGTTTACACCAAGTTCAAAATGTACTCCCAACATTTGCAACACATTTTCGAGCCTCAAGAATTCTTTAACGTTTCTTTATCTTGCATCGTAGAGGTAAAAGTTGAATTTTCTGTTATGTTTTCCTTGCACCTAAGATCAGCGACAAGTCGATTAAATCATTTGCCAGCAATGTGTAAAAACATGTGAAGATGATCAATCACAACACGGTGGGGTGAAATTGTAGGGAATAAAGGTTTGTTTGACACAGAGAAACAATTATTGGCATTTTTTCTCCTTTTTCCTTGGACATTTTTTGCCCTTGTACCTCATTGTACTTGTATTCAAGCCTAGCCCCTTGTGCAGTATCATTCATAGACCAATTTTTTGACATATCTAATTTCTCAGTTTTGCTACATATGTAGTTAAGGCAAAAGTATTGGCAAGCAATTGAAGGTATTCCACAAACTACCAAAAGAAATTTGTAATCACCCCCAAGCATTATTTCAACTTTGAAATTTCTTTCATTGACTGTCGGTGTAGTTCCCTGAAACTGGCCTACTTCTTTTCTGAGGTCATCATCTCAGTGTAGTTCCCTGTAACCGGCCTACTTCTTTTCTGAGGTCATCTCAGTGTAGTTCCCTGTAACTGGCCTACTTCTTTTCTGAGGTCATCGCAGT